GAATGAATGGAATCAATTCAATATGATTATTCTTTGATCTTATAAACATAGGAATAATTCTTGTTGATTATTCTTTGATCTTTATAAGCATGAAATCAATTTTGTAATTACTCCCTGAGCTATTTTAAAACTTCAACATTTCATAAATATTACAATCCTACTTTCAAAATTCATTGAAGGCAGTATGTTTTAGGGAAGAAATTGTCAAATGCTTGTGGAATGCTTTTTAATTAGTTGGTAGAATGTGAATAATTCTTGGAATATTCTTGAAAAATAATAAAATAAATGTTGAACTTTCAAAATTGATATTTTAAATGACCCCTTTTCCAAGCAATCATACTCACTTTTGTAAATGACCAAAGTTTATTAAAGTTGATTGATGAACTCTAATTAAAGTTAATTGATCATTCTTATCAATGATTAGCAATTTAGTCTAATGATTTTGATAGTTTGTAACTACATTCATAATTTTTACTGTGTAATTTCAATGTCACCAATAAATTAACTGATAATCTAAAACACTAATTGACCTCATTAATAATTAATGATTCGTGGTTTTGATAATAATTTCAAGGCTAACTTTTTGATGTGTGTTAACTTTAATAACTAATCAACTTTATATTTTTTAAAACAAAAAAAGACGGAAAAATGCGCCACAATTTTCTATGCATGTTCTGTTACGGATAGTAATTTACTTTTTGATATCAGTGATAAGATTTGTGATTTATCCAAATTATCATCATATTCCGTATTGTTGGTTCATTATGAATTGAATAAGAAATTAAAGCACGATCATTAATGAAGAATATAAATTAGTTAATTAATTTAGTGAAAGTTTCAAATGACTACAAACAAATTATTAATTTTAATTTGATTTCTAATCATTGTATTTCCTTTTTTTAAAAAATTTGCACATTGAATTTGATTTTTTTTTATTAGTGATAAAACAATTGTTAGTTATTATTTACCTTGATTTTGATTGTATTTTTAATTTATGCAATCTCAATCAGTCTCTCGTTAAAGTATATAATTGTGAGAAGGGAAAATTACTTCTTAAGATTTCCTAAAAGTTAAATAATCCATAAAAATTTTACTTTTTATCAATTTTCTTTAAAATACTTAGAATAGTATTTGTTTAAATTATTAAGTTACAATAATGCTTAAAAAATATAATCACAGATAAAAATATACTTATTTACTTATTTGCTCAACGTTTCTTCCTACTGATTTCTCAATTGCACATTAATTATTATTAGACTGATGTTAATGATCAATTAGTGATAAATCAATTAATGCTAATAATTAAGCATAAATGATTTAAAGTAATAAATTGCAAAATTGAAACATTCGACGATTTGAATTTGTTTGAAATAGTGAATGATTTATGAAAATAATTTATCACTAATTTAATAATTTCAATAAATTTGAAAGACTTGTTTTGCAAGACTTGTTTAGGCGCATTGCGTAAATTAAATTAAAGTAATTAGATGGAATAATGGGATGAAACTTGTTGGAATAAGATTATATTCAATGATCATATGGTATAATTGGAATGAATTCATATTTGGAAACTAATCAATATAAAGATATAATAGTACATTACACAAAGGCGTCAAGGTCATATCACATTAATTTATCACTCATTAGGCTTTTTTTTTGCACTATGACCTTATCAACCTCTCTCGTTAATTTTCAAATGTATTTTCTTCATACAGCTTTTGAAACTTATCAAGAAAATAACACTTACTTATCGCTGCCTTCTTTCAAACTATTCCTTTTAATCAACTGATATGATAAAGTCAATATTTAGGTCAGATTTTTTTTCAATGAATGACCTTTCCTAAACCCAAATTTCTTAATGCTTGACCTCCCATCAACTAAACACATCCATATTCTGACTATAATTAACCTCAAATGATGGTTAAATTGCTACAAATTTACAACTATTTACTTCATTTTCCACTTCATTTCATTTATTACTTTTCTTTTGCATTATATACAATCTTTTTTTATTAATATTATATAATTGCGAATTATTTTTACAAATGAATTTTCGATGAAAAAAATTTTAAGGATTTTATTAATTAAATTTCACTTTGTTGGATGGTAATTTTTTGTGGGTGCATAAATTAAACGACATATTATATTCTAAGGCATTTGCTTAATTAATAAATAGTATCGCTGTAAAAACTAAAGAAAAAAATATCCTTAATTAGTTTAAACTAAACAAATAAACCAAATTTTTGAAATCATAAATTAGCGATCATAGATTGGATTATATAGAAAGTACATATGAAACGTGTTTTACACGCAGTTTATAGAGATCATACGTATAACAATACGTTTATATAATTTCTGTCACGTCGATAAAACATATGTTTTACACGTAGCTTATGGATATCAAACGAATAACAATACGTTTGATAGTTTACGTAATGAAATACTTCTATGGTTAATTAAAAATAGAATATTTCTGTCAAGAAAAAAAGAAAAAAACATATATATTTAAAAAATTATAAATTATTAGTAAATGCTACCAAAAAGCATTTTATTAAGGCTTACATCAATTATAGTACAACAGTTAATTATAGCATGATATATTGCTAATTATTTGCTAAATTAGCTTAGCAACATAATTTATTTTTAANAATTTTATTT